TATATATATATATATATATATATATATATATATAAATATTTTTTTTTGATGTACTTTTTTAATACTGATTCGAGAGTTTTTATGCATATTAAAAGTACTTCTTTTAACACGTACTTATGCACACACTTTACTATCCAGGGACTATTTGAACATGTAAGACAAATTTTCTGAGGCAATGTTTGGTGCTGAGCATAATGATTTAAAACAGAAATCAAAAGGATAAATAGTTAAAAAGTTCAAAGGGTTTTTTGTTCAAAATGTACAATTTTGTACTTGCATTTATTTATGCACATTTTACTGGTTAATTTTTTTTTCTAGCAAGCGAACGTGACCAAGCACGAATCAAAATGATTAACATTTTCAAAGTTTAATTTTTTTTGTTATAAAAAGACTGTTTTAGAGTTATACTCATTATGACGAAAATATTTGTAATTTCTACACTATTTATGCGATTGACTCGAAATTGATCGCATTCAATTTAGTGTAAAAAAATTACATTGGAAAATACACCTTACTGGCTGAAATAGTTTCAGGATAGCACTGCAGAGTGCGTACATTAGTAAGTCTCTAAATAAGTATTTTTTATTCATAAAAATTCTTGCAACTTTTGAACTATCAGTTAGATTGACTTGTTTACAGTCTCATTAGATTTAGCGTAAAAATTGCATCGGAAACAATGTCTCAGCTGTTCAGATAGTGATATCAGATGCGTCAATAGGAAAAGTACAAGTTCGTATGTTTTGTACATAAAATTCAAATTACTTCTAAACTATTAGTCTGATCATCTCAGGATTAGTCTCATTCAATAGATTCAGCGTAAAAAAATGTGCCTCACTTGGCTATCTAAGAAAAATTCATCTCTCTCCGATAAATCCCCCTCATTTCCCTTTAAAAGGGAGGAAGCGTACAGAGAAGAGTAGGGGAGTTTACAGGTATCAGTAATGATAACATGGGTCAGCTTGCTGTCATAATATGCCTTAAGTATTAAATTTTAAGAAAACAAATCTTTGTTTTCCGTAATTCCTGGATTTATTATAAAAATATGAGTAAATACTTTACCACTACCACTACTTAACTCATACACTCTAAAAACTGTACCTCTGATTTTAGATGCACATTTGGATCATTTGTGCCTCTGAATTTTAAGGGCGCAACGTACCTTTAAAAATGAAAGGCACAATGTATCTCTGATTTCAGAGGCAAAATCAGATGTACCTCTTAATTTGAAAGGTACACTGTACCTTAGATTTTGCTTTTGTGTACCGCTCATTGAAACAAGCATTTAGTTGTTCCAAAACCTGTTAGTTACCAGATTTGAACACATTTTTTTTTACCTATTTGTAATTTGCTAGCACTTTATATAAAAAGGGACTTTCTGTTTGGTTTACACTATTACCAAGATATTAATTATAATAATTCTTAATGAAAAATATTTCTCAATTCTTTGANGAACCGGTAAAATCCTTTCGTACCGCGCATTGACTCGCGTTTGCTTTGGTGCCTTTCATTTCTTGTGGTGCCCCTCATTTTTAAAGGCACATTAGTTATGTGCCTCTAACATGAGAAAATGAGGGGTACATTTAGCTTGTGCCTTTTATTTAAGAGGTACAGTTTTTAGAGTGTACCTCTAATAAATTTTTTTCATGAAATAGGGCATTTATATTAAAAATCGAATAATACATATTACTTTTAATGCAACAATCGGCTTATCATCAAGAGAAGATTGAGATGTAATTGTTAGGGGTCGGTGAGCGAAGCGGGCAGGTGATATATATTTCCTCATGTGACATTAGACAACTGCACGCACAGAATATCAAATTTAGTCGTTTCTTTTTTAGATATCATTCATAATCGTCAAAAATTTTTAAAAATGACACATCAAAAGTTTTCAGAAACCGCCATTTACTCAATGTCCAGCAGTATTGTTATATGCTAAATCTGAGATGACCTCTCATCTAGAATTATAGTTTTATATGCGTGCTACATGTGTACTAAGTTTCATGCCTCTCTCATCGAAGGCGCGATTGATTCATAAATTTCCCCTCTCTGCCCTACTAATTATGTCTATTACATATTTATGAAACTGAGTAGAAACAGTAATAATTTTAAGTATAAGATGAAATAAATTTTTCCTTTTTCTTTTTTTCCCAAGTTTACACAAACTATTAGGTGGCCCGGAAAGTAATGTCATTTCGGCGCATTTCATATTTGTTATCAACATTTTATTTTAAATCAATAATGTACTCACCCTTGTTAGCAACAACCTTTCAATGCCGGATCGAAAAAAATGAATTGGTTTTTAAGACTAGCAAATATTTTATGTGCCGAAACGACATTACTTTCCGGTCCACCTAATATTATGTAGGCATTGAAATTTTGTTTTTAATGCTAGTAAAATAAAATAGCACATAATAATTATTAAAATCTTGATAAGCATGTAAATTACGTCTGTGACCTATTTTTAGGAAATAGAATTAACTTTAACACCAAATTTATTTGAGCAATAATAAATTTTATATTTTCGTTAATTTTCGCAGTTAAAAAAACTTTTTATGTATTTATTTATATTTTACATACATTTTGTAAAAAGGGTTTACGCGTGCAGAAAATATTCAATGCATCAAAAGTTTAAGATGAAGCTTTTGTGAGTGCAAACCATGGAAACTGTTGTGTATCAGACAATGCTGGGAATAAATTACAATAAATTTTTAAATATTTTTAAAAAAAATATTTTTATGAAATCAAATAGCACGATTTTAAAACCTGAATATGCAGTCCTTGGCCACATTATCAGACGCACTGTAAGATTCGACGTAAAATTATAATTATCAGATGATACAATATTGCATTGTTTTTACTCGGATAAAACCTGTTTGCATTTGTTTACGCTTTTGTGTCAATTGGATAACATTGCGATGCAATACGTTAAAAATAAATACAAATAGGAAGTATATAAGTATGTAAAACATCTCCTGAATGAAAACCCATTGCATGTATGTTTAAATATAAAAGTATTGGGTAAAAACTCGTGCAAATCTTGTAGTTATATTAAAAAACTACAGAGTGTCTAATAATTTGATCTAATTATTATAATATAATGCTTCATGCATTAAATATTCTATATTTATATAATATATCGTCTAATTTATCGTATCGTCAAATTCATATTATGTATCGTTTAATTAAACCAGTTTATACACTAACGTAAACAAGTACAAACCGGTTTCAGACACATAAAAAGCTGTGTAGTATCACCTGATAAAGTTTTGTAGTTACATAAAGTTTTGTAGTTTGGCTAATAATTTTAGCCAGGGACAGTAAATGAATTATTTTAAAATTAGGTATACATTAATTCATTCAGAACAAACATAATTCATTAGACATTTTTATCGAAATTTTTAAAAAAAGCGTGCGAGTTAAAATTCGTACAAATATGCATTGTTTGTTTTCTTAATTAAAGTCTCGATTCAATTTCACTGCTCGCTATTATCTTAAACAAAATGAAATGTTTAATGAAAATTAGAGTTTTTAACACATAATGAATTTTACCAGGGAAAAAATTTTATTTCTAAATACTAATTTAAAAATAAAATTTTTATCATGTTGTAAAGGTTCAAAAATTTTTAAACATAAGCAGGCTTGTATACAGATGACTATAAAAGAATTCTTTTTTTAAATTATCTCTTCTGTTATTTATTAAAAATAAAAATAATTCTTTCGTCAAATTTGAAAGAAAGGTGCTGAATGGAATGTGTAAATATGTATATTGCTCCATTTGTTAAAGATATAGAACATCAGTTCTATAGTTTTTCGCTTGCTTGTATCTTAACCAAAGCGAAAAGATTCAATAAAAATTAAAGCATTTTAGCACAAAAAGCTTTTTTTTAAAATTTAGTTTTAAGAATCTTAAAGGCAAATAGAATAATATCATAAGTAATTTCAAGCATTATAAATAAATGGATCAGCAGAATTTATATGAAACATTTATTATATGTGTTTTTCTTAAATAATTACATTTTATATCACCAATTACAATCTTAGAAAATAAGAGGTTTATAAAAATATTTGACAACTTGTTTTTATTAGCAAAAAAACAGTAAAATTTAACGACATATGAGACATTTATTTATCCAGAAATAGCAAAAAATACTGTATACTTTTACAAATCATTTTAAGAGAAAAACATTTTGAAAGCTAAAAGTTAACCCTTTAACAAAGAAGTTTTATTAAACATATTTTTAATAGTTTTTTCCATTATTTTGTATTAATGTAGGTCAAAATAAGTAGAAAAATAATGCATATCATTTTTAAAAGTTATGGTTGTGAAAGCATATAACACCGGTATCTTTTACAGCGTTTAAGGTAAAATCTTCCAAACAATAATTTTTCGAATTTACTGTTGCTTGATTTCATATTTTAATACAAATATGAATCCAATAATCTGAAAAAAATTTAGTAACTATTAGACTGTTTTTTAAGATTAATAAGTGCAAAAATATGTTTTTGCACAAGGCGTCAGAAATATATATATATATAANAATATATATATAGATAGATAGATAGAAGAACACCTGTGTCCCACCTGCGTCAAAGGGTTAAAGTCTTTGGAGAAAGTGTTTTTATAAAACTAATGACAGTCTCTATTACTATTTTATAATGTTCCAAGTTTTGAAGCAACATGGCAAGTAGTGCCAACTATGAACCTCTTTGAATTATCAATAATAGTATTAACATTAAAAATATTCGAGTTAACTTTTATTCAAATAGGAATTCTTTTAAAAAAAGTAATATGTTTTGATAAAAACTGAACTGAAAAAAAGCTAATTCACTGACTCGAATCTCATTGAACTAACTCACTGAAAACTAATAGTTTAAATAACAAATAATTAAAATATTATTCAAATATTAATAAAAATCCTTCTAACTGTTTAAAATGCAAATTTATATAAAGTTCTTTGAAAAAGCTTTCAAATGTTGGTAATTTTGTGCATTATAAATGTGATTGTCGTACCCAAACATACATATAAAATATTTTATTACTTTTGAATTATTATAAAATATATTATCAGATTGAACTTTAAATATGAATTATAACCTTTTTAGAATGTCAAAATTAAGTATATAAATTCGGAAATCAAAAGTTACTGAATGTTAACATCAAAATTACTGAGCAATATTTTACAAAACATTCATACCCATTATTGCCTCGAAATTTTTTCTACTTTTAAATAATTCTGTACCAAACACTCTGCAGATTTTAGTATTTTCTTTAATTTCATACCCCAAGTAACATTGAAATGATATTCCGTATCCTAAAACACACAATATATCGTTATGATAATCCACTTGATTCATACACTAAATTCATTTTCGAATTGCAGTAAATACAGGTACTCTTCTGAAACTTCGAGCTACGGCTGCTGGTGGAGGTGGTAGAACGGAATAAGGCGCATCAGCAGGTACATGACTTGTAAGTCCTGGTTCATTACTCAAAATATTGGCACGAAATCCATCAACACCAGCATTGTATTGGACTTTCCTGTACACGCCATATGGATCCTGGTAACCATAACTGCCTGTAACAAATCCATTTTCATCAGAAGATTCATGTCGATACTGGGACATTCCTAATCCATCACCAAATTCATAGCCAAATCGGAAAGGTTTTGGAATCTGAGCCACTGGTTGACCAAGTAACACTGGTTGTACAACTGACTGTGCCAAGATACATGAGATGGTAGTTAAAGCAAACAGAGCAACTAGAATAGCTTTAGAGAAGGTCATTTTAGTTTTGATGGTATACAAGTCGAAGCACAACACTGTAGAAAAAGCTCAATTTGGGCTGGACGACGTCTTAGAACAAAACTTATGACTTAATGGAGAGGCAAAGAGCGAATGATGAATTACCACCTTACAAAATGTACTTTTATACTTCTGTGATGGAATCTGCTTCATATTATCCTAAATTCTTTTTATTCTACTGCAACCTGAATGAATGAGTCCGCATTACAAAAGCGTTTAAGGAACCGTGTCTGCGATAAATATCAAATATCACGAATATACTCCATGAATTCGAATGCCTACCATTCTTGAGTTATCAAAATATTCTTAAGAATTCGCTGTGTATCAAATTCGAACGAGTTTGTTTGAGTAGTTCAGTTCTTTTTCAAACAGAAATTATTCAAAACTTGGCTGACAAAGTTTGATCAATAAAAGTTAATATGTTCTAAGAAAACAGAAGCTTGTTTTATTTATAAAATATTTAAAATTCAATGACTTTTTAAGTATTTAGAAATCATGCCTTAATTAAGATATTTTGTTTTTTTCCGCACAAATATTTCTTTTCTAATAGTGAATAGGCTTTATCCCTGCGGAAAGTTCACCCCTCCTTATTTTGTCGGAGTTTTAACATAGCCCGACTTATCTCTCAATTTTTTGCTTTAAAGAATATTACAATCAAAATCAAGGATTACCATATGAAGAAGAAAACTCTGGTAAAATTACCGTACTAATTGGCAATTTTTCAGTTCGTATGGTAGCAGTTCACCGGAAGATTTTAGTTCTTATTACCACACATTTAGTATAAAATACGAAAGTGGAAAGTAAATTAAACCTAATTAATAATTTTTATGCCATGTTTTAAGAAATCGTGATAAAATTAACAAATTTTACCACAAACATTATAAACCATATTTCATTGTTACATTTGACATAATCATTACCAAAGTGCTTAGTTAAAAATTACTTAGCTTTTTAGTGTACCCATGGAGTCAGAAACGAAGTAAATGTTACCATATTATGATAGTTTTGATCATTCTTTTTTTTTCTCTTGAAAGTATAAAATATCTATTGAATTTAACCGCTAATAAATAATTTTGTCTGGATATATATTTTTGACTTAGTGAATAAAATGAAAAAATAAATCAGGTATGTTAATTTCTGTTGCCGAAAAGTAAATGATATACGATACCGATAGTTGTTCTTTGAAAGCTTAAGATTGTTATTATTATTATTTCATTTATTTTAAGTTTGTTCCGGATAAAAAATCCAAGTAAAAGGGTTTCAAAATCACATTTGATTTATCTTGTCCAATAAAAGTTTCGAAAACACATAATGGCAATTGGTTACTTAGATATTCAAAAAAATATCTATATAGAGAATATAGAAAGAAGAAGAATGTTTTTTTTTGGTGCAAAGTTTTTAATTTATATAATGTTTGCATTTCTCCCTAAATTGTTTCAATCGTGAGTGATTAATATAATTCTTTGTAATTGAACATAATACATTTATTAACAATATTTACTTATTTATTTTTCTTTTATAAATCTTATTTTAGAATATATTTTGAGTGTTAGGTAGCAATCATAAGCCTAACGGAAATAAGAAAGAAGTTACAAATTTAATATTATAAGATACAAAGTTAAGCTCCTAATCAAAAGTACTGTATTATAATTGTATTTACTTCAATTGCATATAAAGTATTGCATTAATTCAAAATATTTGAACAAAATGTTTAACTACAGATGGTGCTATAAGTACTAAGTAATCCCAGACTACAATTGGAAACTGACACAAATTATTTTGGCAAAATATGTGCAGTTACGGTATGAGATTATACCAATTGCAACATCTTTTTATGTATCTTGCTGCTTATGTGATTTAAAATAAGCAACGTAATGTAAATATTCAGACTTAAATATCAATATCAATTTAGATGATAACTTTTGAATAGAACTTTGCTTGTGGTTTCATGCGAGCTGAAGCTTACGACAGTTACAGTTACATAATTCATAAATAATTTAAATATTTTAGTAAAGAAATACCTTTTAATAAAATAATTTGGTATGAAAACTATTTATTTAATTAGTTTTTTTTTCGTTTAATATCAGATCAATAATCAAATATTAAAATACGAAGTAAATCATCAAAATTCAGAATTTTAATTTTAGGTTTTAAAGTTCAAACGTTCTACTGTTATAAAGATTTATATTAAGTTTTGAAACTATTTTTAAAGGAAATTTGAATTATTTAAGCAGAAAAATAGTGAAGTCTTTATCCTCAAATCTGTCACAATTATTTCTGAAAATCAATTTAATTTCAAATGGAAACAGAAGGATATTTTATTTTTATTCGTTTGAGAATTTTTTGTAAACATCTTTTAATGGATGACATTGAATTTGCGAGAAACGCATTTGAAGAATAGAGTTTTATTTCTCGGTCCGCATAAATTCCCTTCAAACTTTTTAAAAACACATCCGCTATTAAATCACCCAGCGTAAGACATATATCTATGAGTAATGCGTATCAACTCTGTTCTTGTCCACTCATCTGTCTTAAGCGTTAGAAGGGTTTGAAAACTTATAACGATAAACAAAAACATTTCATGGACAAAATTGAGACTTTAACAAAGAAAATGAAATTTCAACTTGTTTATTTTTCTGTTTCCCAAGGAAAAAGGATACCATTAAAAATTGAATTTTTTTTTAAAAAAAATGCCCTCTTTGACACTATATAAAGGCATTTGTTCTTCTTAAACAGCAATTCAATCGTCCGACCTCTTACTATTTGGTTTGTTTAAGAAACCACTATGTCATTTTACAACTCTTCTCTAACTACATTATCAGTATTTTTATTTGTTCTTTTTACTTTTGTCATTTCAATGCCAACTCCTATTCCAGAACCTTCGATGGACGTGAGTGATGAGCTACAAAATGCTCCAGAAATAAACTCTGATCAGCTTCAACAAGAGCCTCCTGTTCAATATCCAGATAGTGATGGGCCTAATTTTTTGCCCGAACAGTACGAGTTTGGCTATGAATTTGGCGATTCTTCAGGAAGATTGCAACATCACAGAGAGAGGGCTGATGGTACAGGACATGTCTTGGGTAGATATGGGTACGTGAATGAGTTTGGACTTTATCGAACTGTGGAATACATTTCTGATGCTAAAGGACTTAGAATGATTGTTCGGAGCAACGAGCCAGGGTTAAGCAATCAGAACTCTGCCCATGTGAAGTTTATTGTTGAGCCGCCACCAGAGGCCATTCTAAAACAACAGCGACTACTCAGAGATACGAATGTTGATATCTTGTAAAGTAAAAAAACATCAGAAGTAACTTTTAGTGATACGTATTATTAATGAACATAGTTAAATTAATTACTTTTTTTCCAAAAAATAACCCGCAAATCTTGTAACGCTGTTTTGAAAAGTTGCAAGTTATCTAATGAATTTTAAATAATATGAAAATATCCTGTACATAAGTAATATATTTTCTTTTAATAAACATATGTATCATTTTGTATAACATTTGAGAAACATTTTCATTTAATTCTTTATTCTTTTGGGTTTATAAAAATATGTGTGATCATTTATTAATTTTAATTTTTATTACTGTAGAATTTTTGAAATTTATTCCTAACAATTTAATTAAAGTATATTTTTTCAAAATATCTATGAAATAATTTATTTGTGTTATAGGTATTTACTAAAAAACCTTGAAATAGTAAAATTCTCATGCTTCACCAATTTTACCTCATCTATACAAATATACATTCACTGAAGAGATATATTTTATTCTTTTATCCAATTTCTGGAAAATACATTAAAAGCTTTTGATTTAAAAAAAAACTTTCACTTTTAAAAGGTCCATAGAAGATATAAACGCGTAACAGGTTTACAGGCTTTTCTGAATAGGCAAGGTAAGAAAGCCGTATTTTTAAAATTCGATTTCTCAGGAACTATTCGACCAATTTCTCTCAAACTTTGTATTTTGACATGTAAAAAAATTACGTACTTGAAATTGATGTAAAAGACTATATACCTTATAATTCAAAACTTTTTCAAATATTATTAAATAAAATAATAAATATTTACTAAAACAAAATATTATCGGATAAATGGGTTTTCTTGGATTTTATAATTGTGTGCAAAAAAATTTAAACTCAATTAAGTTGTTCTCGGGATAGGGCAAAATACGCAAAAAGTAAAATTAACATTAAAGTGTTTAAACTTTGGATCATTCTCCTAGACCATATGGAACCCACGAATTGAGGGTCAGAAATTTAACCCCGTTGAAAAAAGGCATGTTTATTCAGAAGAAATACGTTTTTGTGTCTGATTTCATGACTTAAAATATAGCCTGAACGAATTAGCCAGCATATTTGAGGTCACCCCCTCGAACCATTAAGATTTAGTCCTAGAACGTGAAGATCCGTTCATTGGATCTTTTTTCTTTCCGAAAATGACGTAATAAAACAATGCTATGAAATGCAGAATTATTTTTTAACAGCTTAACCACTAGCATTTATCATACCCAAAAATTAAAAAAAATTGGGTTTTAATGTAATTTTAGGTAAATATGCGATTGTTTAAAAGAGAAGAGGGCTATCTTTGCGTTAATATAAATAAAACGAAGAGATACATATTAAAATAAATAAAAAAAATTTTGAAGACATGTATTTGTTTGAATGCAAACAGCAAGCATCACTTTTCAAAGAAAAAAACATATGGAATTCATATAACTTAACAGTAAGAATAATGTTTGTTAAAAGCATCGAAATAGCTGTAAGTTTATTAAATACTTTCTTGCTTAGTACGTTGCTTTCTGTTTAATATAAACAACAGGCTCTTATATATTACAATGCGGATATATAATGCACTTTTTTCTCGAAAAAAAAACTTAAATAAAAACAGTAGAGGTGGTTCATTTTAATGAAGTGTATTAAATATTTTTATTCCGGGATGTTCAAAAACTCCTGAGAAAAAATTACTAATTTTATTGAACTAAATCGTTAAAAAAGTATCTCGTTATAAATTTTCTTTCTGTATAGAAAATAATAATTGCGTTTAATTAATAAACATTTTAATAGTTTTTTTTAATTAACTTTTTATACAAATGAAGTTTTAAGAACTATTATAGGCACCTTTAAAAAAATAATTTGAATTAATCTCAAAAGTAGATCCTCAACCTCTGAAAGGCTCGAAAAAAGAAAAGTGATGCACTTATTTCATTAGAAAACTTTCAGGTTAAAAAGAAGACGAAAAAAGAAAAGAAAAACTGATCTGTAGAAAGTACGTTAAAAAGATGGGGGAGGAGTTCAAATTTGATGCGCAAGATAACGAAAAAAACTCAATCAACTTAAGTGGTTTAATGATTAATCACCTTTAGCTTTACACGAAATCCAGAAATTAATGTGTAAAGTAGAAGGCAAGAATTCTGTTATGGAACCTTTCAGAATATATAATGAAGTTTCAGTGTTTTAGAATCTTTGCATGAAAATTCTTAGTTAAGTTTTAATTGAAGGGTAAAGGTTATCATTTTCTTAAGACACGGTAAATTTGATACTTATAAGGTTACAACATGATTAATGTGGGTGACTTAATTCTGCAGATTTTGGAGAATTAAGTATAAAACTAAATTTACTTGCTAGATAAAAAAAAAGGCACTGAAATAGGAGTTTATACTATATTTTAAGTACATAATTTTTTAAGCACTTCGCAGAATTTGAAGGACTATTAGAATTTTTTCTTCTTTTTACTAGTAAAATGAGTTATTAGACTTTATTTTGCATTAAAAGAGAGAAAATTAAGTTACTGAGTATTGAATTAACTAATGATGTCTATTGAAGAAAGGAGTAATTTTTTAAGACAAATAAATTTCTTAAGCTAAAGCTTAATATTCTGGTTAGGGCAGAAATATTTTTTTACTTTTGGGCTGTGTACAAAAAAAGATTAACAGAAAAAGAAAAATTTAAAAAAGTGAATACGATGTGCCGCAATAACTAACATAAAATACAACTGGTGAGGTACAAAATGTTATAATTTATGGTTGGGAAAATTTAAAAAAAAAGATTTAGTTAATTAATTTTTTTATTACGAGGTTGTGCAACAAAATAAACAAACAAGTTAATTATGGCGCGTGACTACTCCTATAGTGGAAAAGTACTTAAAAATTGCAGCAATAACCCTTAGAAATAAAAGAACATTCAAAAAACAAACAAAAGATCAATACGTCACTGTGATTGAGTTCCACATACCTCTTGCAGATTTACTTTGAGCTGTCCATCTCCAAAAAATAACTAATGATCTTTAAAAAATAACAGAAGAAATGAGTTCTTGTTACGACCAAAACAATATCCTTTTCATTTTTTATTTGCTGCAGAATGTTCTAGAGAACACACAATAGGGGAATCACAACATCTATTTTGAAGTAGGGACACAGCACGGATTAAGAAATTTCACAACATCCACTTTGTAGAACCCATCATCAATTACTCGAGATACCGAGATCACACAATCACAATCTCAGGCTAAGGTTGGACTGGAATACTTCTTGTCAAAAAAACACCAGGGCACACGTGATTCACTACACTTGTTCATCCTTTTTTTTTAGAATGCAAGTTCTGATTTACTTCAAAAACCAAAGGAAGAAACACCAACAAGGCCCTGGCGAAGGAAAATACTATCACCGGACAGCCAATGACACCCACGGGTGGGTGGAAGAAAGAACGCCATGATACAATTAAAAGAAAACTCCGTCTCTCAAAGAGAGGAGGGGGTAAAAATGAAAAATCCCTGTTAAGGGATCGTATAGTACTGATATGAAAATTAATTCGAATGCGCCCGCTCAAAAAAATGGGCGATATTTATATAAAAGGTTGAAGATTGAAGTTAAAGTACCTAAAAAACAGCAGAATCGTGGCTGAAAAGGGACTTAAAGTGAACAGATGAACTGCCAAAAATCAAATCACAATTATACACAATATGTGACTATAACTGACCATTCTCCATGTGTTCACATCAAAGGCTGCCGAAGGTCACAGGCGTGAAGGTCGACAGACAGTGAGGCGTCACAGGAGAGGGGTCAGGGTTCGGCCTAATTTTTAGAACAGAAAATTGAGATTAAGTGACACAATGTCACATATTTGAAGCATTTAAAACTCCGATTCTCAAGTATAATAGCATACAAACTACTTTAAGGTATAAATTTTTTTAATTCAAGTTTTTATTTTTTTATTTTTTTTAATAACAAGAGCTCAGAGTCAAATTATCAAAATCATTGTAAAAATGGTGCTTCGTGGGACAATGCTGAAGTTCGTTAAAAACAGCCATTTTCGGTACATATAATGTGAGTTTAAAAACAAGTATGTACGTTGCAAATTAAAAAATATTTTAAAAAAGAGATACCCACTATCTTTCATAGTGTTTAGCACCTTAGATATACTCTGATGTGCAAAAAGTCACGGGATACTGCAATCGAATCGAACCTCCTCTAGCTCTACGAACTGCAGCAACTCGACATGGCATGAACTCAGCAAGTAGTTGGAAGTCTCTAGCAGAGATATTCAGCCAGGCAGTTTAAGCAGATGTCCATAATTGCAAAAGTGTTACGAGTGAAGGGTTTTGTACTTGAACTGACCTCTTGATTATATCACATAAATGTTTGATGGGATTCATGTCAAGTGGCCTAGATGGCAAAGCCATTCGATGGAATCGTTCATTACATTAGATAAAACCAGTCGAGAACAATTGTGGTCCGAGTACATGGCACATTGCCATTCATAAAAATTTCATCGTTGTTTGGATACACAAAGTTCATGAATGGCAGCAAGTGGTCAGCAAACAGCTGAACATAACCATTTTATGACAGTGATCGGTGCAATCGGACCATAGGACCCAGTCCATGCCATAAAAACAGCCTACACCATTATGAAGCCACTACTAGACTAATGATCGTGACCACAGCCTCCAGTCGTTAATAATTTAACACCACCCAAGAGGCACTTGTGTCAAAAATATAAACAGAGGAGAAGAAGGCTACCTTCGATAGGCATAATGTAAACCTGCCATCATAGGCTTGGCGTGGTCCTGGTGTAAGCTCGCCGGACAAAAAATTAGTCACCCTATTGCTCAAGCATCGATGAATCCTTCGGTTTTGTTAGATGACGCAGTGATCAAGTGACGTGTTCACCTGCGTGCGCACTACATCAACTTGATCAAAGGCGAGTAGCCACCAGAGAGATATTTTTTGTTTTGGGCGGAAATTGTATGTAAATATTGGTAAGTGTAAAGATGTGACAAAGTGGCAAAAAGGTTCAATTTTGTTTGGCCTCCCCCATGGTCATACGCTGAATGAAATTGCTGGTTTTGTTGGTGTTTCGAGCGGACTGTTCAATGTGTCTACAAGCATTTTCTTAATACACGTGGTCATGAAAGACGACGTCATAATTGCGGTCTGTAAAAGATCCTGCATGAAAATAACCACCATTACCACCCATCATTCAAGAAATCCCCACAAAAGGAAAATTAAGAAATAAAAATTTATTTGTTTTAACATTTTTCTCTATTTGGGGAATTTATGCAGAATTCCAATTCAAGAA